TATCTATTACTCTCTTAATTCTCTCGCGACCCAAATTTTTCTCGAAAGATATTCTCCAAATATTTATAAAGATAAAATTATTATCGATCGATCTTCCATTCGTCGAAAAATCACGAATTTCAAAAAAGTTGTTACACGAGGGAAAAAAAAAAATCGTTTAATTAATCGTAGATCGAAATTTGTTTGTTCACGTTTTCTCCACGCGTATCCTCTTCGTTCGCAAGATTAAAATTTACCGTGCCTCGTTAAAAAAATCTGCACGAGCGATTGAACGCTCTCGCTAATCTCTAAAAAGTTAAAACGCAAATGAAAAAAAAAAAAAAAAGAAAATGAAAAGAGAAAGAACGAAGGTTAAATCGTACGTACGATCGATGAATCTTTCGTTCTTATTTTCGTGCTACAACGAAAATTTCTTGCACGTTGATCGATAAAAAATTTATAACTCTGGGACAAAGAACGAAGGATTATATAGGTTATGTATACGATCGTCGTGGTCTTTTGAATTCTGGGGATACGATTATACAACTCGAACAACGTGCACGCTTTACTTGAAAAGAAAATTACTTCTTTTATCTTCGAATATATTAATTATTATATTCGGGATTAACCATTGTGAGATCCATTACTCGATGCACGTACTCAATTCAATATAATAAGGAAAAATCCACGAATTAATAACACGAGAAAAAAAATGAAAATTAATTAATAATCCTTCCTTGCATTAATTAATCCCTATTCCATTAATTAACGATTAACGTCGCTCGATTTTGGACGAAAAATAAACCGTGAAACGAATAAATCGTTATACAAACCGTCGACCAAGCATTACACCACTAAACATTCGATTAAAATCGCGATAATTTCTCTTCTTTTTCTTATAATCCACGAGAGAGAAAGATTAAAGTCTAACGAGAATCCTGACCGATCTTCGTCTCTCCCTTTAATTTATTATCGCATTATTATTAATCGATACACACACCACGATGGAGCGCACAAAGTTCTCGAACAATACCTTCCACGAATACTCCCATTTATCTTTCCATCGGTCGGGATATTACCATCACAACCACTACCACCACCACCACCACCATCATCATCATCATCGTCATCATTATTCTTGCAAACATCGAGGTACGAACTCGACCGTCGTCCCGATCCCCTGTTGATTCGCCCAGTTTCACGCTTCGCTCGACGAGAAAGAAAGAGAGAGAGGGGGAGAGAAAGAGAGAGAGAAACGAAGGGCGGGAAACGCGGGGTTACAGTGAAGCAAAAACTCGTAAAACGTACGTACACGTTTACATCCCACATCCATCGATCACCATATAGATTCACAGGTGGTCCACGATCACACCGAAGGTGGTCAACAACACCTAGCAACAACACCACTTCTCCACCGAAATCCTCTTCCCAATATATTCGCCTTCTCCTCCACTTTCCTTCCTTTCCTTCCTCCGCGAACAGGGGATCTCACGGCGGTAATCCCTCTCGCTCGATCGTCGATGCGTAATCCTGGACGTGGCTGATCGTGGCCGGCGAGGAACGAGGAGGGAACGAGGGAAGGGGGAGGGGTGGGCAGGAGAGAATAGAACACGCGCAAGAGACACGAGAGATCGATCACGATACGATATCTCACGTGCCAACTCTCCCGTGCGAGGATTTTCTCTTACTACTCGAGTGAGCAACAAGGGAGTACCCTCTACCAACAGGGAGTCCCTCTCTGTACCGATCGAGGATCCCGTACGACCGAGACGACACTGGCGAGGGCAGATGCTCGCTTGCCCAGCTCCTCGATGCGCGCTCATATACATATCTCTTTCTCTTTTCTTCATCCGCCTCGCCTTCTCCACAGGTCCACGGCGCGTGTGCGTCGCGTTGGAACGGCGCCGACGCTCTCTCGTCTTGCTCCCTAGTCGATCACCGCTCGTTAATCCACGCGTTTCGACACGCTCGAGAGCCGCGCTCTTCCCTCGTTCGATGCCGTGTTTCAACGATCGTGTTTCCAGCACGGATACCATCTCTTGTATCCTTTTCCCAGAGTTCGAAATATCTCGAGGACGAGGGGAACGAAAGAGATGGACGAACTGGACGATGGATCCGGAATCCGTCGTTTTGGGACGAGAGACGAGTGAGTTTTCGCTATTTCAAGTTTTTTTCGCTTGCGCGATGTTGCGATAACGATATATCCTTTTCGTTCTCTCGGGAGTGGGACAAAAGTTACGCGGTCGGCGTAACTCGAATATCTTTTCTTTACTTAGCTCGTTTTTTCTTTTTTTTTTTTTTTTTTTTTTTTTTTTTTTTTTTTTTTTTTTTTTTTTTTTGTATAAGAGAATTTCGTAAAGGGGATTGGAAACGGACGAGTTTGATTTTCGGTATATGGTATGTGGTATAACAATATGGCAGAGGGGGGATGACTTCGTTTGTCGAATTATATTCGTAATTTATGTAAATATAATAGATTTATTAAAAGTATTAACAATTTTTTACAGCATTCGTATTTCGTTCATTTCACGCAACACGTGTATAACTATATATATATTATATATATACGTAAATGATTGACGCTCTAGTCCACGAATTGACGATACGGATCGTTCTTTTTTTCCTTATTTTTTTTAACGTTTCCTAAATAAATCAATCGAAAGATAAATTCGTTATGATACAGTCGGGATGTTCGCCGCACGACTAGAGATTTAACCGATCAAGTCTCGCGATTTGTAACCATTCCTTGCTCCACCTCGTTCTTCGCGTTAAAATTTTAAAATAATCGTTTTAAGTACAATATTTCCCGATCGAATCGATTCCAAGTATCCCAATACTGGAAAACGCATTCCGCAGAACGTTTCACGCTACAATTATTATCCCTATTTGTTAAACACCTGCGAAAAATTTAGCGCTTTGAAAAACACTTCGGCACGTTCGTCAAAAATATCCGTACATCTGATCCACAGAAGATATATCACTTTCTTACGGCGATGAGTTGACGATCTCGATTATTCGAACGAAAGAAAAGAAAAGAAACTTGGTCGAGGAAAAAAAAAAAAAACGAAAGAGCGAAGAGACACAGGATGCGTGAATTGTCGAACACATCTTCATATCTTTTTTGTAACAACATACGCGTAACAACGATATGCCTACCATTGGTCGAATCTCGTTAAAAAAAAATAATAAAATAATAAAATGAGCAAACGCGCGATTATAAATAAAAAAAAAAAGATCTTATTATACAATATTACAATAGGGGGGAGGGTCTCTCTCGTTACAATTATTTAAGTTCACGGGCCGATCATTCGTATATTCACAGTATCACGCATTCGTACGATCACATTCAAACCGCATTTATCTTTTTTTTTCTTTTTTTTTTTTTATAAATCGATTAACGTTATTTAATATACTTAACAACTACGTTGCGTGGACGGTACGTTGCAATCGCTATGATTTTATTATCCGCACATTTTTCAAGTAAAAATCAACGCGTAGTGTACGAGAATTCCGCGAAAGAAAAAAAAAAATATCCGATTTTCTCGTCATCAATAGGGACGAGACGATGAAACTATTGCACAACAGGATCCTCGAAAAAAATTGCCCAACATTTCCGTAGATCGAAGAAGCTCGTTCGAAAGTCGAACGATTGTTCTCTTCTTTTTCTTTTTCACCCCCCTTCTCTTTTAAACGAGGACGCTCGATCTCGACGAAAAAAATCGTTTCAATATCCCCGTATCGAGACGAAGAAAAAAAAAATCACATTAAATTGGTTCATTCGCGGAATCGATGGCAGAATTTCGTTGTACAGTCGTGACGGATCCCGAACGATCCGAACAAACAATATTTCTCAAATATCAAGAGGAATTGTTCGCCCACTTTGAAATAGCTTTCTCGTCGAAAGTCTTTCCCTTCGGAGAGAAAGAGAGGAGGGAGGGGGCCTCGCTCGTTTCTTTCCCTCGTCCCTCCTCCTCTCTCGCGCGCCCGACCTCGTTTCCTCGAGTACAAGTAGCGCCGCCTCACTGTTTCGTCGGGCACAATGCTCGCGATTGAAATGCTCGCCACGCGGAACAAATGCTCGCGCGCGCTTCGAAAGAAAACGAACCGTTGGCATCCGTCGGCTTTCAAACTTCGTGCCTAAAAACCTACCAACGTTACACGTTTTTTTTTTCCTCCCACTCCCGGCGTGAAATTAATCTCGATAAAAAGCGCTCTTCCCTCGTGTTCTCATTCAAACGGACAGAGAAAGAAAGTTCGAATCTCGAGTAAAAAAAAAAAAAAAAATCTCGCGAATAAATTTCTCTCTCTCTCTCTCTCTCGAGATGTATACTCGAGGGAAGAATGGCCCCGCTCTGGTCGAAACGGGAGGGGAGGGGGGGAGGAGAAGTAGATAGCGCGTTGGAAATAAGCGAGCTGGTTTACAACTCGGTGGTGGTTTCGACGGGGCTCTGCTCGCCCAGATACGTGAATCCCAGATGGGAATAGTCCCTTTTCTCCCTGAACGTCACGTTGTCGTTGGACGGGCTCGGGCTGAGCAGCGAGTCGTTGCCGTGGTTGTAGAGCGGGTTGAGGACAGGCGTCGCGTCGTGGTTGTTCAACGTGGTGTTCCCGTTGCCGCCGTTGTTCTTTCTTCCGAGGGTGGATCGCCGCAACGAGTGGATGTTCGCATCCGCGTGGGTCCCCGCTATACTCGAGGCGCGCGCCGTTGTCGCCGCCTCCGAGCTTACAGGGCTCTGTTGACCTGCGGATGGTCGGAAACATAAGTGAACGTAGTGATGAACCCTGTGTTTCGACGTTGTTTCTCTCGTTATTTTGCCCGACACAGCTATTTTCCATGTACGAGAGCGAGCGAGAAAACGGGGGAAAGGACGGGGATGGTTATATATTATATTTTTATCTGTCGGGAAAACGGGACGAAATTTCAAACGAGAAACTTTTCTGCTCTCCGTAAATCGATGCTGGGATCGATGCCGGAGAGTCGAGGAGAAGCGAGTCTTCTGGTGAGTGGGTAGAGGGGAGGGGGAGGAAAAAAGTCGATATATATTGGAGGTGGATGTATATTTATAAGAGTTTCGGAGTTTAGGGGAAGGATGAAAAGTGTGTGTACGAAGCGATATAGGGAATTTATTGGGGAGGGAGGGGGGATATGTTGGAAGTTTAACGCGTAATTAGTTTGCATTCTCTTCTCTTTTTTTGCGCTCTTATCTTTAACCTCGTTCCCTTTCGATCGCGTGATACTTTATATACATATTCTTGTAAAATATTTTTATCGAAGGTAAAAAAAAAAAAGAAAAAAATAGTCTTGTTCTTTATCTTTAATTTATCATCGCCTCGCGTTGAGAAAAAAATAATCTTTGACAAATTCGATCGATCCAAATCCTTTCCTTAACTCGTTATATACATTCAAAACGTAATAATAATAATTACGAATAATTATAATTGCTAAACAAAATCATATTTATAAAAATGTTTTCCAATTACCGGTACTCTCTCCGTGATCTTTGGTAATGTAGCTAACGTTGTCCAGGCTGAACGCGTGATTCTTATTGCTGAAATCGAGCTGAAGGTCGTTGTAACTGTCGTTGTCGTCAACAGGCACGCTCATTTGAAGCACCTGCGTCTCATATTCTTTCAAATTCGGCTCCACATACACAGGATCGTAACGGGGTACCACGTACATTCGCTGCATCCGTTCCTTGTACGCCTTGTATCTGTGTATCGAAACGAGAGAGTGAGAAAAATTCGACTATATCGAAGCTCGAGTCGTGTTCGAGTTATAGCGAGCGAGAGAGAACGATACGAAGAACGGCCGACGCTATCTTAATGACGGTACTAAACGTTTTAAGAGAGGCGACCAAGTCGGAAAGTCGTAATTAATTCTAATGGGGGTAATAAAGGGAACGATGAATTTGCACGGTTGATACTCGTTAACCGAATGATGAATATTCATTTCGACGCTTGAAAACCTTTTTTCTTTCTTTTTTTTCACGCGATACAATTCTCGATGAAATTCTCCAAATCGAATCGTGAGCTATTATACACGTTCGTACAATATTTCTGTCCCGTTATACATTATTAACGCTAAATTCTTCCACTTCTTCTCACAATTATTGGAGATCGAATCCGTAATATTACCGCTGTATATAAATTTCCACTTAATATACACATTATAAAAATTGTTCGAAAATAATCGAAATTCTTTCACATCTTTAAATTAAAAAGCTAAACGGCTTCTTCGAAAGCGGAGAGAATTAAGCTCACTACTCACCTGGACCAGGATACGCAAATGTAGATTATACCAGCAATTCCTAGAATCAGTATGACGCAAGCGATGATGATCAGCGCGTATGGGAACACCTCGCCGCTGAAAGCAATGGCGGTCTGAGTGCGTATTGGCTCCGGTGGCATCACTGGCGCGTGGATGTCTATCGCGTTGGCTCGAACCAACGTGGACACGTCGAAAGTGATGTTCGACATGGCCGTCTTCTCGAATATCGATCTGCAACCCGCAACCATTGATTTCGTTACTACGACCGCTTTGTTAAGTACAAAGTCCAAGTCGCGAATAAGTACCAATGTTAAATCGTTACGTTGACTCGTAATTGTTTCGTGGCAATGTTCGGTTTGGTAAACGAGACAAAAGTGGAGGCAATTTTAAAGCGTATATTTTTGAAAATTCGAGACAAGTCAAATATAATCGCTTGTGTCAATTTCGCGACGCAAAGCTTCGATATCTTTGACACAATTTTTTCGCGGCCTATATCGATTCGTGAAGCGCTTTGCGCGGTTTACGCGGTTATCGCTAAAAAATAAAATCGACAAACCTCTTTTCAACTATATTAAAGCTCATGCATATACGTGCACTTTTTTCTGTACGCGTTATACGACATTCGATCTTTCGTAAAAATAAAAAAAAAATAAAAAATATATTTTAACTAACTTACATTTGCACATGGATGGAAAAACATCTCACCTTTGTATCCTCGAGCTGTTCCTGTCCAAAATAGCCTCGGTGTCCGGATCGATGGCGTAAAACCACACGTCTGAATCCTGAGGATACATCTCGATAGTTCCATTCTTCGTCAAATTCTTCCTCACTGCTATCCTGTCTATCCCGACGAGAAGCTCGCTCTTCTCCTCGATGATGCCGGCAATCTTGGACGCCTCCTTCTGCAACGAGTCGGGCGACGCGTCCTGGACGACGAGTATCATCAGATTCTCCTCGCCTATAAGATTCACTATCACAGGGGCGACGATGGAGTTGAAGTTGTCGGTCGAGTTGGGATTATCCCGAACTCGAACGTCGAATTTGAAGGGAAGCTCGGCCGGGTCGACGTTGTCGAAGGTCGCGGTCGTTCTGATTATACCGGAAGACGTGTCCATCGCGAAGTAATCCGATCCTCGCCCGCCCAGTATCCTGTACTCGAGCTTCCCGTACTTTCCGTTGTCCTTGTCGTGGGCTTTCACCTGGATCACCGTTGAACCGAACTGCGCCGACCGCGGAATCGCGGCGAAGTAACGCCCCCTCGACAATTTTGGATCGTTTTCGGGAAAGACGAATTCTGGCTTGTTGTCGTTCACGTCCAGCACTTGAATCTTCACCTGGGGATTCAGAGGTGAGAAATTTGAGATATTGGAAGTTTTTTATATTATTCCTTTTCCCTTAGATCCCTTCTATCATTGATCATTATTGATCTGTTCGATTTTTGTTAATTTAGATGGTTAAATCAATAAAGAGATCTACGATTTTGGCGACTGCTAACGTACACGGCAGATTGATGGAATTTCTGCTTTTGATAAAAATGGCGAATTATATCTCTCTTTTTTTAAAAATTAACGAAAAGACCGATTGTACATATGACTGCTTTGTAAAAACGATATGGGTCGATTTAGAGAAAACTTCTCACCATGGTCGTATTCCTGCCGGAATTCAACAGGCCCGACAGAGATTCGAGTTTAATTTTCACTTGATAAGATTCCGTCGTTTCGTAATCCAAAGCGCCTTTCTTCAATTTTAGGGCGCAATTCCTCTCCTCCGTGACGCCAGCCTCGAACAAATCGTCCACGTTCCCGCTGTAAATCTCGCATTTCAACGGGGTCGTGTCGTGAGCGTGGCTGTTTATGATGGTGATTATCTTGATAAGAGTGTTGTCGCCCGCGTCCTCCGGCACCTCCACGTTGTACGAGTTTTCCGCGAATCCTAAACCGATTTCCGGAGGCACGGTGGCAACATGGCGAACGTAAACGGGCACCGTAGTCACCGAGGATAATTGAGGCTCACCCATGTCGTACGCTCGCACGTCGACCTACAATGATGATCGAGATGGATGATCGTTTCTATATCCATCAATCATGCGTCGTGTAAAATGGATATTGAAATGATATTGGAATGGGACAAAACTAACAAGAAAGAGGGAGATTCTTTTACGAATGAAATTAAAATTATCGTACCTGATACTCGGTGTCCGTTTCTTTCCGCAAATCGTCCCTCACTCTGAGCACACCGGTGTCCGGATCGATCATAAAATATTTGTTGGCTATTCCACGTCCCACGATTTCGTATCTTACCTGTACGCGACGAAGAAATAATAGGGCAATGGAGAAAATTAACAAGTAGAATCGTTAAAAATTTCTAGAGAGACGTATCGAGTTGTTCGGAAAGTAATTTCGTTTTATTTCACGACGATGAAACGTCAAGTCGTTTCACGCGATCGTGGAATTCGAATTCGTATTCGATTTCGTAATAATTTCTCGAGTCGTTGTTTGTCGATTTGCTTCGATCGGTGCATCTTTATTTTATCTTCTTGAATTTCAATTGGTCTTCCAGAAACGTGGCGCATTTTAACGTCGAAATTGTCGAAATTTTGAAAACCAATTTCACTGGCTACCGTTAATACACTTTTTCCATAAACTTCGCGTAACTTTTTTCTTGCCTGAACAGTATTCTTCACCTTTTCGGTAATAAAAAAGTAAAATATGCCGAAAATGTTTCTTTCGATCTCGCATCTTTGCTACCACGCACGAGAAACACAACCGCCATATTCGAACGAATTTTTCTTATACGAATAAAGCATGAAATGCCAACTCTGAAAATATATAATAACTACGCGGTTTAGAATGAAGTTGGCTGGATAAAAACGTTCGACTAGCGACACTCGTGTGAGAAAACGAAATTACTCTCCGAATAACCTTAGAATCAGTCAATGATCGATCGAGCCTCGCGTTTCTGTTACCCAAGATCGATTCGAATCGAAGATAAAAAATAGGATAGATAGAATGGTCACGAGTTAATAGCATAAATCGATCTAATCGTGGTCAAGATCCGTCATTCGGGAATTAATCGATCGTACCTGATTTCCGGGTGCAGTACCATCCGAATCCGTCGCTATAAGATTAATGACCGTTGTGCCAATGGGAATGTCGTCGTCTAGTGTAATCGGGCGAGGAACTGACGTGAACACTGGCGGGATGTCGTTAACATCCTGGATAAGGAACAACAACGCCGTTCTCGATCACAATAAACACTTACTATTCCTGAATTAATTAACTACACGATCGATAACCAACATCGATCAAAGTAGAAACGAACACGCGAAAGCAACCAAAGATACATACATACATACATACATACATATATATACACATATATATCGATACGATACGATAAATTTGAACGATTCGGTTCGACGTAAACAGAAAAAAGAACAAGGGAACAAAGAGATTCGATTGAGGATCGATACCTGGACGTTGACCACGACCCTCGTAGTGGAGCCAGGCAAATCGCTCGTGTTCTCCACGGTGCCGATTATAAGGATGTGTTGGCTCTCTCTCTCGTAGTCCAAACCACGGGTCGTTTTTATCACTCCTGTCCTCTGGTCTATGGCGAACAGTTCGGTATCCCCTTGCTTGATCATGTACGTGATCTGCTTCTTTGTGTCCGGATCATCGGCCTGGAAGCGGATCATCTCGTTTGCTTTTAGACAAGGAGGAGGACCGTCCGTTCGACCAGAATTTACGCTCCCTTCCGCCACGATGGCGAGAATATATAAATAAATTATTTCGCGCGCCGTTTCATCGACGTCTGTTGTATATACTATGTAATTGTGCTCGAGTTGTGTTGGAAAGAGGGTGAAAAAAAAAAAACTCGATACAAAAAGCGAATAAAAATTAAATACCAAATTTTATCAATTTAAATATGGAAAATTCGATTTTCCTCCCGAAAATGAAAATTTTATAAAGTGTGCATTTTTGATGGTAACTTTTTTTCCTCTACTATTATTTTTTTTTTTTTTCTTTTTTAATCAGATTATTGGGAATATATCATAATGGAAACGAGGCAATGATGAATTTACGAACAACCGTTAGTTTTCGCTTCGGTCAAGTCAAGTTTTTTTCTCGTTATTAAGCGGGAAATGACTGGAAGTACCCACCGTTACTTGAAGCACCGTGTAATCCGGTATATTCTCCTTGACTCGTGCCTCGTAGCTGCTCTGATGGAAAACGGGAACCTCGTCCTCCACGTCTATAACTTTCACCGTCACTGTTGCGGTTGCTAAACGATAATCAGGAGCACCGTCCCTCGCGGTCACCACAAATTTGTATTCCTGAGGAACGTAATCTCTCCTTGCAATCTCCGACTTAAAATATTCCCTTCGCCTCGCGAAACCTCGTTAATCTCAAAATCGACTCGAAGATACGTTCTTTTCAAGCTTATATAAGTTAAGATTAAAATTCATCAATTTACAAAATGTGGAAAATTTGAATTGTAAAATCAATCCTCGCGATTCCTTACGTCATTCTGCTCGTAATCGAGGACGATCTTCGTCAGCACGTCCCCGGTTTCAGGATCGACCGTGAATGGGATGTCGTCGGGGGCGAAATACGTTATTTCCGCGTTTATCCCTTCGTCCGCGTCCTCCGCGTGCACGCGGCCGATCAATTTCCTGGCCTCGCCCTCCTTCACCGAGAATTCGTACGGGAGGCCGACGAATTCCGGATTCTTGTCGTTGATGTCCGTCACTTTGATGTTCACCGTCGCCGTGCTGAACAGGCCGCCCGAGTCCTCCGCTTTTATCAGCTTTACAGCGGAGGGGGAGAGGGGTTTTCAATTCGAAGTTCAAACTCTTGATTGATCAAGGAATCGCATCGGTAAACTCACCAGTTGATAACGGGTCAGGTCCTCCCTGTCCAACTTCCTTATGACGGTGATCACGCCCGATTTGTCGCCGATTGCAAATTGGCGCAGGTCGTTGCCCGAGACGATCGAGTACGAAACTGGATCGTTTTCTGGATCGACTGCCTGTTAATGAAATTAAGTTAGAAATGAAATCGTTTTTTCCTTTTTTTTTCTAATTCTAATAAATGTGTTGCAACAGGGACAGATCTTTTTTATTTATTTTATTTAGAGCAAAATATTTAATTAGATTTTTTTTTATATACATGCCTTGGAAGAATTTCGATGATTTTCTGAAGATACAAAAATTGAGAGAATGCAATGAATTAAATTATCATTTTTAATAGGAAAATTATCTTCTTGGTTTGACAAAGTTTGCAGAGAGGCAACGAAGACTAAAAACATCACTAATTAATCAATGTTTTTAATTCTAATCATTGCATGCAAAAAAGATAGAAAAATTAAAATTTGCCGCAAGTCATATTTAA